AAATCTGGAAGAGTAGAAGTACTAATTAACATTATTTTATAGGACCCAAAGAACAATAAAGTGTAACTATGAAATTCGATGAGATTTTTAGCACTAAGCCCATGTTGGGCTGTATCATTCGAGTGGTTGCCTGCTTGGTTGGTGCGGGCCTGGCCCATGGACCATTTATACAAACAGTTTTTGCTTCTCGACTGTGATCATGATACGTAAGGATTTTAGGTCTTTTCTCCTGCAACTCAACTTTCTTCACCTTCGTAGATATGCAAATCTATTGTGATTCAGCTTGTTGGTCACCTCTATATGTATCGTTAGCAAATAGAGTGTTTCTGACGAGCATATTTGTAAATTCCTATAGGGTATAAAAGTAATAGATGGATAAAGGAATATGGCATTTAAAGTATAGATATAGGGTTAGAAGCGATGCAAAATGTTAAATCTATCTGTGCTCTTGCAAGTCCAGGGGGTATTCATATATTTTAAATAGTTCTCATTTCGATTGGAACTGAAATGACTTATTATTCAACACGGTGCCGGTCCACGCCTGTTTTCAATTATCGTGTGCCTGAGAGGCATTGCTCAAACTCGAAGTACAGTAGAAAATTGATGCTAGAAACTAGAATCCAAGCATGTCCAATTCATGTACAGGATTCTTAATCGTCTTTCTGTGCAGACAATTGCACAAAGTAGGATTATGAAACCATATGAAATGCCGATTACTTTAATTATTTCTCCTTTTTATGAATAGCATGCTTCGCTAACCTTGATGGTACAGTATAAGATCATCATCTGCCAAGGGATAACCCTTGAAATAAGGACAAAAAATTAAATTTCCAAAGTCAGGTTGTAGAGGGTATAAATTTAAGTAAGACAAAGAGAGACAAGCCTTCTCTCGCCTTCGAAGATCTTAACAAAAAACGAGGACTTCAAGTATTTTCCTAAAAACCTGGTTTTTCACTTAATTTTGCACTACCGGGGTCGTTTTATTTGGCTTTTTGAAAATAGATTACTAGAAATCTGAATCCGAAACTTTGTCCTGCCTAACATATACTTGACTTGGCCGTCAAGTTGGCTTCTACATTTCTTTAAGAGATGCCTTTCGCCTTTGGTGAGTCCAAGTGGAGCTCCCATCTCCCGTGCATGCACCTTCCCTTGAAACTATGCATGACGGCATGTAGCGAGGCCAGAAGAAAAAGACTAATGTCCTTGACGATAGCCACGAGCTCAGCCCATACTCACAAAGGACGAAAGTAGTTCCAAAGATAGTGCAGATCGAAAAGACGATCTGGCTAAATGTCTTTGTGATTCGACAGCCTTCATTTATTCTTCAATTCCGGATGATGTTTCTCTTTCTAACCCCAAGGCTTATCAGCTTTATTTCTCGTATGATTTAATTAATTAGTCCCGAAGTGAGTAACCATCGATGCTAATTCTTTAATATGCGTTTATCACCCCAGTCGCCTCAGGGAATTTAAGAAGATAGTCTCGAAGCCTACTCATATAAGAAATAAGTAACGTCGTCAATTGCAATAACAAATATATAAATGTGATGTATTAACTATATTTCTTCAAGAGGTTAAAGAACTAGTAATTAAGTTTTCCCACAAGGATATGAATAATCCTTACGGTCCCCTTAAATTACGCATCGCTTTGCTTTACCTCGCTTCTGCACCTTCAACTAGTCTCGAGAACCTACTTATAAACAAAAAACAACTAATATAAATTAATCGAAGGTATGAAGACCAAGATGGTGTGGCCTTTTGTTTGGTCGCAGTCTCCTTTCGTTGTATAGAGGCTGTTTGACCTTGTTTTCGCTTGTGTGACCTTGTTTGTGTGCTTATTATGCCACTAGCCACGTTGATTCTGCTTTCTTCCTCAGCTCGAAAATAGACACAATCCATGCTAGGTAATAATTGTGCGTATAATGCTATTAACAAGGTAAGAATACCGGGAATTCCACGCGACTCTCATGAAGTTCATTTTCGCCCTATACATGTTATAATTTAGACTATTTTTTAAGTGGAGGAAAAGATGGCATAAAGGAATAGTAGAGAATCAGTCAAAATACAATATGAGCGAAATAGAACTGCATGACTTATTTTTTGTCTGGAAATTAGATTCACTTTCTTTAAACTCTTCACTTTAGAAGCGACTATGACTATTCATAACGTGAGGCAAGGCTCATCGGTTAAGATGTAGGAAATCAAGGGAAATTATTGAATGCAAGCGAATAAACCTTAATTACTTAAAAACTGCCAGTCGACAGCACACGAAAATGAGACTTAAGAAGAAATTTGTTTTACTTTTTCGCGGGAACTCTGTGAAGCATGAGTAATTGGCGTGCTTAGGTATAAAACGAAACATTCTATTTAAGCTGCATAAATAATTGTTTCAAATTATCTGAAAGGAAGAGATGCTCTTCCTTCGTCTGCCAAATCTTCTACTAATATTCACAACCGTAGCTAATGTATAGTATTCAAGCTCAGACCTGATTAAGAAATTTTTAGGAACCCTTCTGCCAGTTGTCTCTGTTAAGTTCGCTAGAACGAAGTTCTCCTTATGCTTAGTTAGCAGTCCTTGAGCTAACAATTTAACTCATTACGAATTCAAGAATATCTCTGATATGGTCTTATTCAGAACCTGACATTTTTGAGGACCTTACTCACTTTAAGAGCAATCTTTGAGTATAGATTTTATATAAATAACTGAAAATAATAATAAAAATAAACGCTGAGATAAAAATACTTATAAAAATGACAAATTAAAATAATTCTTTCAGAGTATCATTAACAAATTAATGTCGGCATTGCCATTTAACTTAATTACGCTCCGCATGACCTATTCAGAATTCACTTTCCATCAAGAACACATAACATCACATGTTTCCTCGGTTGCATTACTTGTCTCAATCATAGGAGTGCTTAATGTTTAGTAAAAGGGTAAAAGTACTGATAGTCTAGGAAGCCTAATTTATCTTAATTTAATTAAAGGGTTTCGGTAAGGCGGTGCCATATTTTGTTCCCTCTCCCTTTTTAGATAATCTAAACTTAGCGAAAAAACAACTTCGGATTCAAAATCCTGTGTGGCATTTTAAAGCCCTAACAAGTAGGCCAACTATAATAAATCTAAAGGAAGGTTTAATTTTACCAATGGACTTGTCTTTATTGTATATTTCTATAAACGCCTTTTTTTCTCAGACTGGACGGTACTTTCGATCACGTCTGAGCCTTACCAACATCCAACAGTGGTTATAGCTCAGATTCACAGTCAAACATGTTGCCAAGAGGTTTCGTTTTTATTCAGTTTATAATTAACCCATCTTCTTTCTACACAAGTACAGACACAACCATGAAGCATATGGTCGGGTGTGCAACAGAACAGAGCTGATGCGGCGAACAAGTGACATACTTTGGGTATGCCACTTAATTTGTGGATATGGGAGGTATTTAAAGAGAAGCTGGGTTTCGAAGAATCTCTTAGTAGCCTGATGTTTGCATACCCTTCATTACTTTTGAAAATACGGATGGAAGGGCTTCGTAACTTGGCCATACTGTATACGAAAAGCGGGTTACCTTGGACTTGTGGCTGTCAGATTGTGCGGAGAAGACCTCAGACTTCGATTAATCCGTGATAAGCTTTATTTCGTCATGTGACTCATGTGCCTTTCTTGGTTTACAATTTTGGGGTGATTGTTTGTAAATTATGGTTTATAGCTTTTGATGGTGCCCTTGTCATGAGGAAGGAAGGCTCATAACAGAATTCATCGGAATAGCAGCACGGTGAGCCGAGGTCTTCTTCGCCGGGTGAGACTTTTGGCCCTTGTTTGCACGGATCGCAAACTATAAACCCTTGTTCATCTTCCCATTGGAGGCATTGATGCCCACCCTTACTTTTATAATAACTTTAAAATTTTGGGACAAATTCTGTTGTTTTTAGAGTCAAATCATTGAGACAATAGTAAGATGCCTGTCTGACTTTGAGCATCACGCTACGTCTGAAATCAGAAATACGATTAATGTCTACACCTAATATTTTGCATACTCAAAAATCAAAGATTTTTAGATAAAGATTCTTGCCCTTCAGGCATTTAATGATATTATATATTATTTTAAATGTCATTTTATGGTATATTATAATATAGTAAAATATGGTATAGTATGGTAAGCCATTTTTGTTGTTCATATTTGCATTAATTGTACAGGCCCTATGTGACACTGCAATTGGATACACTGATCGTCTACATGAAAAATTGAGGCTGTCTGGCTACTGCGATGAGTCTGGGCAGTTTGATATCGCTGATGAGGTAAGTCCGACTAAAATTCCTCATTTTATTTTTTATGTTTTTGGGACGACATTGACATTAGCTGGTGGATCATCCTTCCAGAATCGGTTACACGCTGAAAAGTTAAACTTCGATATAAGTGCGTTTTCCACAGATGAAGATCAACCTAGCTAAGGGGTAAAAATAGCAATGGAGAACTTGGTTTACGACTAGCACATCAGGTTGATGATGCGCTTGGGTAGTAAATCCTCCTAAAGTATGGAAGCTTAAAGTATGCAATGAGCTTGTTTTCATGGCACAATTCGTCCGAAATAAATATTTTTTTGACTTCGGATGAATATAACACTAATTCTTCTGGACTTTTAGATGCGACTAGAGACAAACTAGCTAGCTGTTAGTTGATAGTCCCGGTCCATATGGCAAACTTACCCTTGTTTGACTAGTTGGTATCGCATGCCTCACTTCTCGAGGTACTAGCTAGCATACACCCTCCAAAATGTTGTGATTCTCTATTCCGAACGAGATAAGACAACTAAAAACTATATGGCTGGATCTGTTCCAGGTGATTTCGAATTCTACTTCATATTCAACGCCTACTAAGCCACCTTGCAATTTGGTTCGACCATGTTGACGCCTTAGAGATTGGTTTACGCAAGCCTATAGGCCTTTTCTGAAAGCTAGCTTGTCTACGGGCTCAGCAACACTCTGATGGACAAGGGTTGGCCAAGCACGATGGAGTACAGTCCTGATCAACCAGCAACTTTAAGTTGAGCCTTTTAGATCCACGGAGGTTATGCAATTTTAGATGATTCCCATATACATTTGTGGACTTGAGAAGAAACCGATTTGCTATCCGCATGGCTAGAGGTTGAATAAAGATGATTTTTGGCCCACTGGCCATTAACATCTGCACCCCTATAAAAATAGCCGCAGAATGTCTCTAGGCCATAAATAAGAAGTTATATGAGATTTTTGCTTCGTGAATTCCTCTGCCCCCTATGCCTAAGTCAGAGCTGGTTGTAAATTCCCAGTCCCTGCCCCATTGCCTATACAGGCGGGCACATAGCCCGGGCACGTTTGTGTTTGTGTGAGTGTGCATGTTGCTTCGCTGGTACATGTGAACATGGTGTACATAGCGAAAGTTATGCACTCGATGCCCATTTCATGCAGAGCCCCCTTGATCTTACCGCCGACATTGGCGCAGCAGTCCCTGCGACCCAGTGACATCTTCTTGTGTTCTACAGGTGGACGCAGTTAGTCCACTAGGACATCTCTATTGTTGTTATCACCTAGTTTTAATAAACAATAGTAACAATAAATATATGTGGAGGTAGATGTAGTCTTTTGCATGAATGATTTTCTGATGATGGCTGTGAAAGATTTTTGCGAATGCTTTTTAATTTGCCTAATTGTATGCAATTGTAGACTAAAATCAGTGACTTGCCTACTTGAATCAAAGCATCCATCTTTTTTCTATATTTTTAGACAACCATTGGCACCTAGACCCCATCTAAAACATAGAAATACTCTCTACTCCTACCCATTGTTTTGTACGAAGCTGTCTTCTTTCTGCACTCAAGCTTTAGTTAGCAGTAAACGTAAACGAAGCATTTCTTTTATTGTTAAATGTATCAATGAGTTTAGGAAAGCTAGACTGGCCCTCATATTTAGGATCTGTATGGGCCAATGTAAGCGTTTCGGCTTACAAAAGTTTTTTTTTCAACCCTCCAAGCCTCACTTGGGTAAAAATTACATCGTATCACCCTAGTCTAACCTCAATTACATTCTTCTATATGGTCATCTAACTCAAATGTGCATCGGTTGCAAACCGCCCTGGAGGACTGATGGGCTACTATTTCCACTTGGGATTTATATGATCTCATTTTTACCGGTCGTATTAATGATAACGATATACTTGTTAGTGAGTTGCTACTGTATATGAGCAGAAAACTCTGAACGACGGAATCAAGGCCTCTCAGCCAAACTCCTGTAATGAGTGCCTCACCACTCGAGTATTCCGCAATACTGATTCGGCAAAATATACCTTATTCAATTTATCTTGGTTGTGATATCAGAAATTTTACTGTGACATTTCGGCAAATCTGATTTGTATGCCTTATTTTACTCTTATGGCGTTGCTCTCACTCTCCAGGTCCCTTTGCTAGTAACATAATTAATGTATTTTCCGTATGACATAAGCAGCCTCCAAACAGAGCACAGGAAGATTTTATTAATTTGCAGAAAATGGCGGACGGTTTGGCGGATAGGATGGATAAGATTCATAGAT